ACCTGAGATATGGAGAACCACAGGGAGACAGCTCCAGCCCTCTTCTACCCCCACCCCTCTTCTCCCCTCAAGCTGGTAGAAAGCCCGTCCTTGCTCTTGGACACTGGCCTCCTCGCCTGGATGGACCATGTCAGGCCCTCCTGGACAGAGGGAGGGAGGAAAGGGTGTGCAGTGACAGTGCTGCCCTGCCCCAGGGGTGAGGGGTGAGGGTCATAGCCTCTTAGAGTAACAGAGCAAAGTGCTATCTTTGAGCCGGAAGCAAGGGTTGGAGCCAGCAGTACCAGAGCAGAGACCCCCGCCAGCCCATAGCCCCTGCAGAGCCACTTGACCACCACATCAGCCAGACTGTGGGAAAGGAGCCAATTTATGAAATTAAATAAAGTCCACAAAGGGAGTGAGAAACTCAGGCTCAGGCACCCCACCCCGGCTGGGCCCAGCACAGCTGGAGCACAGTACACTGGGTACCCCCACTGTCCTGCCCCTCCCAAGAGGGGGCTTAAATAGGCCAGGCCCCAGCCTGGCGGCCAGAGGTCCCAGGGCCTAGGGCGGACAGAAGTCGGAGAAGTAGGGGTGCTGCAGGGCCTCTTCTGCTGAGATACGTTGGACAGGGTTACACTTCAGAAGGTTCTGGAGATGGGAGAAAGGCAGTGGCAGGTTCAGGACAGGTCACTGCCCAGAGCCTTGCCTTCCTGTAGTCCCTCTGGACAAGTGTCCTGCCCCACCCTCTACCTCTGGTCACCTACCTGCAGCAGGTCCCTCCCTGTGGCATTGAGTTTGGGCACGACGTTCACCAGGGATGTTGTGGCCGGGTACATCGGGTAGGGCTGTGGAGAGGCAGGGAGGGGCAGACCAGGGGTAGGGGAGGGGTGGAGGCTGCCAGGAATGTGAAATAAGAGGGACCCTGATGAACCATGACCCCCTACTCCCCATCACACCTTGTAGTCTGGCAGCTTGGTCATGGAGGGCCACTGTTCCTCGGTGGGCGTCCCCAGCAGCGTGTCCACAGGGTCAAGGATCACTTGGGGAAAGGGTCACAGCTGCATCTTCAGGGACAGGTGAGGGCTTCTTCCCCTCCTGGGAGGGATTCCTCATACCCACCACCCTCTTCTCTCACCCTCCCTTTACCCTCCGGCTTGGGCTTGACAGAAGCAGCCCCAGCATGTCACTCACACATCCAGCCGGTTCCCATGACAATCGCTAACTAGTCTAACCCACATGCTGATGGCCTAGTCTTCATGAACCAGTCCTGCCCCACTCCCACAAAACGTGTCCCTGCTCCCTTGGGCTCCTTCACCCTGGCATCCGTCTCTCACCTGGAGGGACATCCTCTTGACTTCGTCCCCCAGGGCACACTGCCCATCCTATAAGTGGCACCTTCTCCAGTGTGCATATGCTCTGTGACCATCAGGGCGTCCAGCACGCCTGCTCTCTCCCCTTGCCCTCAGGAGAAGCCCTATGGACCCCACCATCCCACCCCATATCATCACTGCCCTTGCCCATTGCGCTAAAACTCCATGGGCTCTCCCCTCCCAGAGGGCTCGAGGCAGAGGAAAATGGAAGGATATCGGAAGATCCTCTTTAACTGGTCATCAACATCATTGCCGGGAAAGAGAGGCCGCCCAGCATTGGCCAGCTCTGGAGGAAAGAGAGGGGCTAAGATGTGACATGTGAAGGACCCCTCACTCTGAGGGACTCCTGACCTTCCAGCCCGTCCCAGGGCCTCCCTTCCTTTCCCCAGCAGAGACCCTCCAGATCCTATTTGTCAACCCAAATGGGAAAGAAGGTGCCTCTGCAGTGCCCGAGCACATCACCTGCAAAGATGCAGCCGGCTGACCACATGTCGATGGACGTGGAGTACAGCTTGGCCCCAAAGAGGACGTCCGGTGGGCGGTACCACAGTGTAACCACCTGGAGGAGACCCCCCCGACAGGGACCTCCCACTTAGAGGGCTGAGGAGGAGGTTCAAGGAGGAAGCTCAGAGAGGAGAGGAAAATAATGCTTTGGGTCCTGGGGTAGGAGCTGAGGGGCTCCCTCCCTCAACACCACATCCCAGCTGCCAGCTCACCTCAGCTGAGTAACAGCGGACAGGGATCCCAAAGGCTCGAGCCAGGCCGAAATCAGCTAATTTCAACTCCCCATTCTGAGGGGAATGGAAAGGGAACATGGCGAAGGGCCTTTGAGCAGCCTTGGGGCAGCACAGGCTCCATCCTCCCAGTCCTGTTCCCCCAGGCCCTGGTCCTAGCCTCCCCTTCCCCACCTTCTTCCCAAAAGTACCCTGTTGATTAGCAGGTTCTGGGGCTTCAGGTCCCTGTGCAGCACATTGCGGCTATGACAGAATCCCAGGCCTTTTAGCAGCTGGAAGAGGAATGACTGGGGGAAGAGCAGGGAGCAGGGAGTCAGACACCCTGAACATAACTGTGGCCAGCAACTGGCCGGCTCCTCTCCTCACCCTGTGCTTCACTACACTCCACCCACCTTCCAGCACCTGGCTCAGAGTGACACCATTCATTTGCCATCCAGGACCTGCTTTGTACTGTGCTAGGCATTTGAGGGACAACAGTAAACAAGCTGGCCCTGGTCCCCACCTTCCTGAACCATACAGCCTAATGGGCCTTGCCCAGTGGGTCCTAGATCTTGCCTAGATCCCAGCCCATGATCTTCCCTTCCTGGATGCATCTGAGTATGCACACCATGACCATCCACATCAATATCATGGTGTAGTATCATTCAGGACTGGCTCTCCTGGAACCTGGACCAAGGCATTTGATCTTGGGCCCAGAAAAGCACCTGACACCCAGTGAAGCATTCAGTAAGTATGTGTTGAATGAATGAGTGTATCTCCTTGAACCTCATTTTCTCATCTCTCGGGTGTAAATATCATTGATGTTACTGATGTCAACATCATATGATGTCCCTCTAATGTGGCCAGATTGGTGTCTGAGAGCCACTGTGCAGGTCAAAGACAACCACGTGAAAATGCTCTCTAGGAGGCCCCTGCGGGGCAGAAACAGGGTTTTCTCTTCCTCTGACACCCTAGAGCGTGCCTGTTCAGGGCCCAAACTTGGTGCCCAAGGAGTGCTTACACTGAAGGCAGACTTAGACCCCAGCCTGAGGGGTCCCCCAACACTCTCCTCACCTTTACAATCTCAGGATCGAGGTCACCATTGCAACTGTCAAAATACTTCTTCAGGTCCTAAAAAGGGATATGAGTGGAGGAATGGGACAGAGTTTAACCTCAGTCTGGGCCCCTATACCTTCCCAAGGCTACTGTCCCCCAAATCCCGCCTTTCACCTGGTCACAGAATTCAAAAACCAAAGTTAGCTTCTTGTCACTGTGCAGGACATCATGAAGCCTAGGGCAAAGAAGGGCTCAGCCAGGCACGTCTTCCTGACAAATGTCCCAGGTCAGCCCCCACCTCCCCCAAGCAGCCACACCTCCCGCACACCTGACGATGTTCTTGTGCTTCAGCTCCTTGAGTAAGCAGATCTCCCGGAGGGCTGAACTCGGCACACCCTGCATGTGTGAGGGGCCAGGTGGGCAACAGTCAGATCCCACCCAGCCCAGGCCTTCAACCCCCTCCCCAGCCTCTATCCCAGTCCGCAGCCTACCTCATCATCGTCATCCAACCTCACCCGTTTCAGAGCCACGATCTCATGCGTCTCCCGATTTTTGGCCTTGAACACTGTTCCGTAGGTGCCTAGGGGAAGGAGGTCAGGGGTCAGGGGAGAGGATGGCGCACTCTTCCCTAACCCAGGAAATGCCTCCCCCTGGGAGGTGAAGGCAGCGTCTGAGTGTGCAAGGGAAGGGATTCAGGGTGAAGGCAGGTGGGAGAGCTTATGAGTGAGGATGTGGCAGGTGGGGAGGGAGAAGGTGCCTGCGGAGGCTCCAGGGGCTCGGCAGGACGACTGCGGCTGCCAGGCAAGGATGTCTATAATGAAGGCAGTGCTCACTATAATGAAGGGTCTGGAAATAGTGAGGAGGTGTCTGGGAGAGGACTGAGGGTCTGCAGCAAGAACCGAGGCTGGGGGTCGGGGTGAGGTTGTCCAAGTGGTGCTGAGGCTAGGGTGAGAAATTCAGGAAGTGTCGCGGTTGGGAGGTCGGGTCTACTGGGAACGCTAAGGTTGGAGTGGGAGCCTACGGGAAATGCTAACACGGGAAGATTGGTGTCTGGATGGAGTGCTGAGCTCGGGGGGCCAGGGCTGCAGCCGCTGTTGAGGTCGGAGCCTGTAGGTACTGCTGACGGTAAGAAAGCCAGGGCTGCAAGGAATGCCGAAGGGTATGCAGAGGAGCTCTTGCAGGAACATCTCGAGATTCCATTACCTTCTCCAATCTTTTCCAGTTTCTCGTATTTCTGCATCGCGGCGGCCGCGGGGACCCTGCGGGCCCTCGGTTTTTAAGACTCTGGCCCTGGCGTTGCAGAGGAGGCGGTACCCCAGCCTCCAGCCCCGCCCCGCCTGCCCGCGCACGGCCTTCTGGGGCTTGTAGTCCTAAGACGACAAGGTTTCCCTGCAGTTCCCGAGGCCGAGGACAAGAAAACTACAACCCCCAGCCGGCTGCGCTCAGGCTCTCTGCAGCACTTGACTCCCGGGCTCTGGTTCCAACGCGGAGGCAAATCCTGGACTTCAAGTCCCAGGGAGCCACGCGTGTCCGTTTTCCGGGCGCCCCGCCGCTGCGCTGCGGTTCCCAGTGTGCCCCGCTGTTGTTATTTCTTTTATGTGTTCCCAGACCTCTTGAAAAGGGCCGCTCCGGGACTACGCGTTCCAGAATGCAGCGGGGATGGGGGCGGAGCGCTGTCCCTTAGGGGTTTGGGGTTTGGCGTTTGGCGGCCTAGAGCCCGGGCCCTGGCGGCCCAACTCTGACCTTGTTGGTGGCCTTGAGTTCCCGACGGCCTCCTGACGACCTCAGCACAGGTTTCCACCTCTCCCCAAGCCACCTAGTGACCCCAAGATTGACTGGGGAGTGCCTTTGAGCGATGATGACCTCACAGGGAACAGCTGACGGCAGGGCTGGAAATATAACAGGTGTGCCTTTTTGAGGCTGGATTTTTAGTGAAGGGGTACACTCCAAAGACCCTTCTCTCCGCTGCACCCCGTTTGTTGTCTCAGCCTTCACTCGACTCCAGCCGCTGAACTCTGATATGCTGAGGCTAGCTGGGTGGAGCCCTGGGGGGGGTCTCCCTAGACCCCAGTCTCCGGAGCAGGGCCCACTGGAGTCAGCCAGGGTGTGGCCGGCAGGTTGGTTAACCCCCTCCACAGACAAGACCACAGACAGGTGCTCAACTTGCACCAGCCTCTACCTCATCCCTTAAAGGAGTTGATTATAGATTCCGTTGCATTGCCTCTCTAATTGTCTCATGATTGCATTCTTGAGGGCTATGGACTGAGGGAAAAGGATCCCAAACAGCGCTCCTCAGCATCGGAATCAGAGTTGCTGCCAAACACGTATTAACTAACTCGTTTTTATCTGAACGCTTTTGCATACACAATGCTATGCTTCACGTGGCCGACTGGAGAAAAGAAGCGAAAAGTATATGCCTTATCTGGAAGACTTGGTGATTTCGTTGGGTAAACAAAAACTACACACAAAGGTCTTGAATGATAAATGATGGCTATGGCTAGGGTTGATTCAGTGTGAAGGTTCCATTCAAGAGTAAGGAGGCCACCACAGGGAATCTCTGTCCCTCTCAGGAAGTGGGGGGGGCGCCTAACAAGTTGCCCTCTCCCAGGTCAGCTCAGGTACTGAGCGGGTACTGGGCAGCCACCCTTCTCACCCGCTCGCCACCTGAGGCTTTCTTGGAGGCACTGGACTTTCTTGGACGTACGGGGGTTATTTGAGAGCGGGGGGCGGAAGAGAATCTCGACCCCGGTACGTTTCTATTTCGACTTCCTCCGCCCCGAATTTCCTGGCCATCCTTGTGCCTGCGTTTTCCTGCCTGGAATCCCCAGCGCGAGGCGGGATCTTTTCCACTCAGAGGTGCAGTAATTGAGCCAAGAGACGGAATCCCCCGGACGCCTGAGCCCCGAGTAGAGAATCTCAGGGCAGAGGGACGCGGGGGCGGTTCCTAGTGCCGGCCTGTGCCTGGAAGCGCGCCCCCGCCTCGGCCCCTGCTCTCGGCCCCCGCTCCCTCCTCCCCAGCAGCCGCGGCGGGGCCGCGCACGGTGCGCCGGGGGGCGCGCACGCAGGGGGCTGGCCTGCCCGAGGCGCGGGGGAAAGTTGAGTTGGGAGAAGTTGGGAGAGGCGGGGGCGCGCCCCGGGGTGGGCACGGGGCAGTCGTCGGGAGCGCGCGAGGGCGCCGGAGGACGGGGAGAGACCCCGAGACCCCCGGGGCACGAAGTCCAGAGCGAGCGGGTAAGCGGAGAGGTGGTGGGGGGGCCCGGGGCCGCGGAGGGAGGAAGGGAGGGGAAAGGAGAGGGGGGGAACTCGGGACTCGAGCGGGGAGGGAGTGGAAGTGGAGGAAAGGGCGGAGACTGGGGCGCGGGGAACCGAGGTCTAGGGGAGAAAGATGGGGAGGCGGATGGAATGCTGGTTGGAAGCGGGCATTCCGGGGTCCGCTTCTCAGAGTTCCCTAAAGCCAGGGTGCCGCGCCCCCTGCCACCAGGAGGGTGTAGTCTCCCGGGGACGCCGCCGGCCCTCCCACTCCCCGGCGGACTCCAGACCATCCCTCCCCTCCTGCCCCGCCCGCGCAGCCTTTCAGTCCAGGGGCGCCCACACTGGGGGTTGCCCGGGCCTCCGTCCCCAATCTCCGGGTTGAGAGGCGAAGCGAGGAAAGGCGGGTGGCGGGTCAGGTCGGGACAAGGGGTCAGGCAGAAGAGGGAGCAGCTGGGTGGGGATGGGAAAGACGAGCCCGGAGAGTTGGACCTGACTCCCGGGATCGGCTTGTCCAGGCGGGGAGTTTCGTGCTGGTTGTGAAGGACCGCACTGCCTGAAATCCAGGGTCTACTTTATCCCCCTTCATTTCCCCTGCCAGCCCCACTTGGAAGAGCTGTGGAATTTACGAGTTCACTTGGGGGGTGGTTAATGCCCAAGTTGGGGGTCCGAGTTGCTAATCCCTTGGGCCAGGGGAGAGATGCTAATCCTCTGGGCTGGTTGGGGCTGGTCCCGGGAATGTGTCCCCACCCGGATTATCGGCACCGATGCTGTGGACAGAGGCTGCTTTGTGTTCTGGGACAGCGGGGGAGGGGGCGCAGAGGAGTGTGGAGGGCACAGCCTGAGGTGGGAGTAGGCACCTGCAGGTGCTCAGGGTGGACTCCCCACAACCTTCCCAGCCTGGGTCACCCCACGCTCATCCACACCACCCGCCCTGGCTGAAGGCCTGCTGAGGGGGAGGGGAACAGCGTGTAGCCGAGTTGGAGTGCTTGCCAGGATCGTGTTGCCAGGCTCCCCATCCTGGGTGACCCCCCAGGCCTATACTGTTGGACCCAACACTGACTTGTCTTACTTGTAAGTCGGGCACCCCCAGTCCCCAGCAACACACTGGGAGCATGGGTACTGTCACTTTCCACCAATCTTGGGTGCCCCCCGTGCTGACCCACTAGGAATGGGCCGGCCCCTCATCTGCAGGGATTGGGCTGCCCCCTGCAGCTCCTTCTCTGCCCCCAACCACACAGGGTGTCCTCCGCAGACTCCCTGTAGTCACAGTCAGGAGGGTAGCAGCCCTGCCACTCAGATTTTCCTGGCTCCAGGCTCTAAGGGGGCGGGATCCAGACTGTCCTCAGAGGCAGAACCTCAAGGCTCAGTGGCCACCCCCTCCCAGCCCATCACATGCCCCTCCGCAATTATAAAGCTCTGCCCAGCCTGTGCCCACCTTCTGTGCCTTCCTCCCTCCCACTGAGTGAGTGGAGTTGAGCTCCTGCCCTCTACCCAGCCGGTCAGCTTCCCTCCTGCCGGCCCCCACAGACCTGGGGGAGGGTAGCCTCCTGCCAGCCTGCACTGGGGAGGGGGCGCCCCCTCGCTGCAGGGGCATCTCGGGCTCTCTCCAGAGTTCTTCCTCTCGTCTGCCCGCTTCCTGCACGGCAGCCCAGCCTGGCTCCACGGGGTGTCTCACCCTCCTCACCACGCCCTCTCTGGTCTCAGGCCCACCTCTGGTGGGTGCCCTGATGCTGAGAGACTCCGTGTCTGCCTAGGCCTTCACTCCCCTCCTTCCCCGGCTCATGATCACTCCCCTCCCCTCCATTGTTGCTTTCTTTCCAGGCCTGGGCCTTGACTCCTTTCTCTCTTTTTCTTGCGGCCTCTCCCACCTTCTCTCTTCTCCCTCTACTCAGTCTCTTGGCCCTTTTTGATCCCCCTCGCCTCAGTCCTCTCCTGTCTCTTTGTTATTCTCTATTTCTCCTTTAAATAACTCCTCTCTGTGCTGTGGCAGCTGCTAAGGGCCACTCTGAGGTCCTTTATAGTCAGGAAGATCCGGAGCAGCGTGGAGGGCGTGTGGTGGCTGCTGCCATCCTGGGGCTCTCGATGGTGATTGGGCCTCTCCCCTACCCAGGTTATGCCTCCACCTCATTGCCCTGAAAGCCGCAGCGACAGTGAAAAGGGCTAAGATTTGGCCATGAGCAGCGCCCCCCGGCGCCCTGCCACGGGCGCAGATTCTTTCTGCACGGTGAGTGTGGCCCCCAGTTCTCCACCCAACCTTCCCTCTGTGGCAGCCAAGGGCCCTCTCCAACCAGGGTTGTGAGTGTGTGTGTGAGAGCGTGAGTGTGCAGACCAGGAGGGCGCTACCATCCCTACCCAGACCTTGCATGATTGTCGTGGGGGATGGATAGTGGGGGGATCAGGCATCTCCTAGTCCTGAGGAGGCAGTTGAGGCTGTTATCTGAAGATCTAGGTAGCTTAGCCTCGGCAGTTGAGGAACTTTGAGAACCCTGGGTCTCTCACCCAGCGACCCCTCTTAGCTTGCCTGGCCCTTGAAGCGCAGGTCTGGTCTGAGCACCAGTCAAGGTTCTGGGCTGAGCCTGCCTGCCGCGCCTGGCCACGCCCCCTGCCCACGTGCCACCCAGGCCCACCCCTCCCTGCCCCCACGTGGCCACTGCTCCACATGGCCCCCTCTGGATTTTCCTAAGGAGTCTAATGATTAACCCTGTGCCACAATCAGCTCGGCTATTGGTCATTCTGGCCCAGAGGGGCACGTGACTGGGAAGGGGCGCAGGCTGGTCCCCTCCCCCTCCTTCTCAGGTTCACCCCTGCCGGCCATGGACTTCCTCCTGCGGCCTCAGGTGCGAGGGGTCTGCGACCTTTTCTCCCCGTGGGGGCTAGCTCCCTGCACCTCTCCCTGCCCCCTCGTCCCACGGTGCTGCTTCTGGTAGGAGTGGGGCCGGGCACTTGGGGAAGCCAGGAGATGGGCAGGAGTCTTCCTCACAGAGGGGAGAAGCCAGCCCCCTGGCCTGCTCACCTTCTCTTATCTGGTGTTCTGCCAGTCTCAGCTGCTCCAGTCCCCATCTCGTCCCCAAGACCCGCCCTTCGCCACAGCCCTCCTCCCCGAGCTCTTCCTGGTTCTCGCTGCTGGCACCGCCATGGAGGGGGCTGCATACCCCCGCCCTTGGAGATCCCGATGCCCTTCAGGTCCAGAAGCTCTTGAGCAAATATTTGGCGGCGCCTGGAGCTGAGACCGTGGGTGGGTGGGGGGGCTTGACCAAGGCTCCCTGGCCGGGCGGCTGCTGCTTAGCCAGGTTGAGCTCTTGCAAACGCCGCATTCCCTGCCGGGTGTGCCGGCTACTGCTCTGCGCCTGCAGGATGACTCAGGTGGGGGCTGTGGGGGTGGGGTGAGGGGTGGGGCTAGGGAGCAGGCCCAGGGCTCAGGTGTGGGGTCTAGGGGCTTGGGGAGTCCTCCTGGGGGCTGAAGGGCATCCATTCCTGGCCCTGCCAGGCTGGGTTTGTTTGACTCTGACTGGCCCTGGATCGGTTAGCTTGGGCGCCTCCAGAAGTTACTTTTTGGGCTCAGCAGTTGTCTTCAGGCCAACAGGAGAGTTTTTTCACTATCTTGTCATGTGAACTTCCCAGTTCACACGCTCTCCCTCCAGGCTGCAGAAGGGCTGTACAGCCAAGAGGGATGGGCTGGGGTGGGGGCAGCTCAGAACCTAGGGGACAGCTGCTGGGGGGGACTGGGTGTCTGCATCTGAGGGGACACTGCTGGGGGATACTGGGTCCCTGCATTTGAGCGGACAGACTAGGGGGACTGGGTCCCTTCTTTTTTTTTTTTGAGATGAAGACTCGTTTTGTCACACAGGCTGGCGTACATGGCATGATCTTTGCTCACTGCAACCTCTGCCTCCTGGGTTCAAGTGATTTTCTTGCCTCAACCTCCCGAGTAGCTGGGATTGCAGGCACCTGCCACCATGCCCAGCTGATTTTTGTATTTTTAGTAGATAGAGGGCTTCACCATGTTGGTCAGGCTGGTCTTGAGTTCCTGATCTCCAGCAATCCACCCACCTCAGCCTCCCAAAGCACTGGGATTATGGGTGTGAGCCACTGTGCCCAACGTGGGTCTCTATATTTGAAGGGACAGCTGCTGAGGGGATATCAAGTCACCAGCATTAGAGGAGATGGCTGCTGGTGGCAGGGGTCCTGCATCTCCGGCACTGGGAAGGGTGAGGTTTCGGGGTACAGTTTCCAGTAAGCCCTGTGTGTTTTCTCTGTGCCTTCTTCCTCACAGCCAGAGCCAGAGAGCTTGGTCCCTGGGACCCCTGGGTTCCCCGAGCCGGAGGAAGATGAACTTCACCGCACCCTGGGCGTGGAGCGGTTTGAGGAGATCCTACAGGAAGCCGGGTCTCGCGGAGGGGAGGAGCCAGGCCGAAGCTATGGGGAGGAAGATTTTGAGTGTGAGGGGGCAGGCAGGAGAGGGGGAGGAGGCAAGGGGATCACATTTGACTGTCCAGCAAAGAAGGGGCTGGGGTCCTTGTGGGAGGAGCGGGTCTGTGGGCCAGGATGGCAGGGGAGGGATGCTCTGCTGGCCACAGCCAAGTCTCCCTCCTCCCTGCAGACCACCGCCAGTCCTCCCACCACATCCATCACCCACTGTCCACCCACCTGCCTCTGGATGCACGCCGCCGCAAGACACCCCAGGGCCCAGGACGGAAGGCTCGAAGGCGCCCAGGAGCCTCCCCAACTGGAGAAACCCCCACCATTGAGGAGGGGGAGGAAGATGAGGATGAGGCCATTGAGGCAGAGGGGGCCCGGGCACTCACGCAGCCATCCCCTGCTTCCACACCCTCCTCAGTGCAGGTGCGCTGGGCACAGGCTCTGAGGGGATATCGGCTGGGCCCTTGTCTCGTCACTCCTGCCCACATGGGTCCCTGTTGCAGTTCTTCCTCCAAGAGGATGACAGTGCTGACCGGAAGGCAGAGAGGACCAGTCCACCTCCCCCTGCACCGCTGCCCCACCAGGAGGCAACTCCTCGGGCCTCCAAAGGGGCCCAGGCTGGGTAAGTACACCCCAACCAACAGTGTCCCCATAGATACCTCCCCTGCTAGGGAAGTGAGATGGTGGAATCACCAGGCCAAGGTTCAAATCCCAGCCCTGCCCTCACTAGCTGGGCAAGCAACTTAAGCTCTCCAAGCCCCAGGTTCCTCACGGAACCAAGCATAATAGAACCTTTCTCACTGGTGGCTGTGGGGATTAAGGGTGGTATGAATAAAGGTTCTAAGTATGGTTTAGCTTGGCACAGAACAAGCGCTGCCTAAGCTGTTCCCACCCCCGCTCGGCCCCCACCCCCGCCTCTGGTGTAGCAGGAACAGTAGCCAGCACTGGCTCAGGTACTGGACTGGTGACCTCCCAGCACTTGCTGGGGCCCCCAGGGTTCCAGAGGCAAAGCAGACCCCCTCTCCTTGGGGAGCTGCCAACATGGTCTAGTCGGAAACCAAACGCTGTCATATGAGATGGCATCAGCATATTGTCACTGCACCCAGTGGCTGGTTCAGGCAAAGTGTCAGTACCAGTGGACGATTGGCATTTGAGGGAAGGCTTCCTGGAGAAATGACTTTGAACTAGGTCTCAAGGTCACTACTATCACGGGTCTGTTGTTTTCTGGGTACCAGGCAGCGTGAAGGCTGCAGGAAGCGAAGGGCATGTCGTCCCCTCTGGGAGAGCATAAACCTGTTGGGACAGTGTACAGATGTGGGGGGCGGGTTACAGTGGCCTTAGAGGTGCCAGGATGGCCAGGAGGAGGTTAGGGCTTCCGAGAAAGTCTGGCAGCAGGAAAGGGTGGGATTTGTGGGCCAGGGTGCGTGGGGGCTAGGAAAGCCTGGTCATGAGAGGGGACATGAGCTTAGAGCTCTGGGGTCTCTTGATGTTGAGAGAGAGGGATAGGACTGCATGGCAGGGCCCTGGCCACCCAGTGTTGACAGAGAGAGGGGAGAGAGCAGAAGCTGGCATCTGTGAAGGCCGAGGCTCACCCCTCCCAGGGCAGGAAGCTGTCTGCCGTCTCAAAGGCCCAGTGCCACGGACTTTATTCCTCTTGATTAAACATAGGCCCCTGTGAACCTCTGAGTCCCATGGCTTAGGGGTGTGCCAGGGGGTGAGGGGGCAGGGGGATGAATGCTGACTGTCAGGAAGCAGCGTCCTGAGCTCCTTTTTTGCGCCAGGCCCTGCACTGGGACTTTTCCAGAATCTCACCCCTCATGGCACCGCAAAAGGCTGGCCTCAGCCCCAACTGCTAGGAAGCATTGATGTTCACAGTGGATGATCAGAGGGGCCTTTGGGTGACCGTTTGGGGCTGCATAGCTGGAAAAGGGTGGAGCTGGGGTGTGGATGCTGGCAGTCTGTGTCCAGAATCCCCCTCTTCCCATGCCCATGCCTCCCAGGAGTGGGAGCTAGGAGGGCCTGGAGTCTGATGTGGCCCCTTCCCTAGCTGCCTCCTGTGTAGGTGCTGGGCATTGGTGAAGAGGCCAGCTTTCTCCAGCTCACGGCCATTCTGTCTGCCTAGAACCCAGGTGGAGGAGGTGGTGTCGGTGGCCAGTGGCACCGCAGGGGGTGACGATGGGGGTGCCTCGGGGCGCCCCCTGCCGAAAGCCCAGCCTGGGCACCGAAGCTACAATCTTCAGGAAAGGAGGCGCATCGGGAGCATGACAGGGGCTGAGCAGGCACTGCTGCCCCGGGTCCCCACAGACGAGAGCGAGGCCCAGACGCTGGCCACGGCTGACCTAGACCTCATGAAGAGTGAGTGCTGGGCCTGGGCCAAACCCGGCACTGGGGTGAAGGAGTAAGAGAAAGGGGGAGCCCAACTTTGGTCCTCTGCCCCCACAGGTCACCGGTTTGAGGACGTTCCTGGGGTGCGGCGGCATTTGGTGCGGAAGAATGCCAAAGGTTCAACACAGAGTGGCCGGGAAGGGCGGGAGCCTGGCCCTACACCTCGAGCCCGACCCCGGGCCCCCCACAAGCCCCACGAGGTACCACACTCTGCTTCATGCTCCTCCATTAACTTCCCATCCTCCTCCCCACGATCCCTCCGCTACCTCTCAGACCAGCTGTAATCTCAAGCCTCAGGACTCCCACCTTTGTTTTGTTGAGACAGTCTGACTCTGTCATCCAGGCTGGAGTGCAGTGGCACAACTTTGGCTCACTGCAACCTCTGCCTCCTAGGTTCAAGTGATTTTTTTGCCTCAGTCT